AAGGAGGAGGTAAGAAAAACTCTTTTTGGAGTGTTGATCGAAGTCCCCTTTGATGTTTCCACCCTTTCTTCACTTGATTTCTTCAAATCCTTCTTCTTATTGTCCTTGAAGATTTAGCCGTTTTGTATCTTTTTCCTCCTTCTCCAACCTCTAAAATTAGGTCTTTATGATGGTATTTATAGTGTCCACAAGTTGCAAGACGAAATAGGGTTGGACCGGGCCGAAAATCTTTTAAAATTTCCATTTTTTCTCTTTCTCGGTATCGGGCGCCCGGGCGCCCAGATTGGGCGCCTGGGCGCCGCGTAGTCTGCTGATTTTCAGCATTGTGGGCGCCAAGGCGCCCATCTTGAGCGCCAAGGCGCCCGGTTCGCTGAAATTCAGTTTACGCTTCCTTCAGTATTTTTAACATAACTCTTTCTCCTGATATCCGATTGAGATGATTCAAGTTGCGTTGGAAAGCTAACTCAAAGGCCTACAACTTTGCTTCAGACATCATTCTCCAATTCAATCGTTTACTATGTCAAAAATGAGTCTCAATATGAGACTAAAAATCTGGAGCAAAACTTTTCGGTTGTAAATTGATTTGTGATCATATTTTGACTAAATTTGATCCCTTTGACATCTTTCCTCATCCAATTGGCTCTGATCACTCTCAAATCTTCATCGTGAGGTTCGGTATAACTTTTCCATATTTGTACTTTAGTCCCCGAACTTTAGATCTCTTACAATTTAGCCATTTCCTTTCCAACTTTTGTTTATTTTCTTCAATCTCATCAACCTACATCACAACATCAAAACACACATAAAAACACTCTAAAACTCTCTCAAGGATGACAAAATAACGAATTAAGTGACATAAATATCATGAGTGTAGAACACTCATCAGTGGTGTACAGAAAGAAAGAAGCAATGCTAGAAAAGGAATGAGAAAGATACAAAGCTCGATTAGTAGCTAAGGGATACTTATAGAGGAAGGGAGTAGATTATGATGAGATTTTCTCTCTAGTCGTCAGACACAATTCCATCAGGATTGTCTTGGCAATAGTAGCCAGTTTGATTTGGAGTTAGAGTAGCTAGATGTGAAGACCGCTTCCCTTCATGGTGATTTGGAGGATCAGATTTTTATGGAGCAGCCATAAGGGTTCTTGATGATAATTCATATATTTTCTTGATGTTGTATATGAATGACATGTAAATTCTCGCTAAAAGCATGAATGAGGTAGACTGATTGAAGTTTTTGTTGACCAGTAAGTTTGACATGAAAGATTTAGGATCAGCTAAGAAGATTCTTGACATGGAAATCAACAGAAATAGGAATGCCAAAAAATTATGGGCATCTCAGAAAAATTATTTGCAAAAAGTGTTGGAGAGGTTTAGCATGTCCGATGCAAAACTAGTGGGGACGTTATTGGCAAATTATTTCAGATTGTCTAGTAATCACTGCCCTAAGAATAAAGAAAAAATTGCAGAGATGTCAAACGTGCCTTATGCCAGTGCAGTGGGATGTTTGATGTATGCAATGGTGTGTACCAAACCAGATTTAGCACATGCAGTCAGTGTGGTGAGCAAGTACATAGCTAATCCCGACAGAGAGCATTGGAGAGCTGTAAAGTTAATTTTTAGGTACTTGAAAGGTACAGTGGAGTGTGGGATCATGTTTGAGATACAACATGATGATGTTTCAGTTCAGGGATACGTAGATGCAGATTATACATGTGACTTGGATGATAGAAGGTCCCACACATATTATGTTTTCACACTTGCATGTGGGCCTATATGTTGGAGATCTGTGGTGCAGTAACTTGTGACATTATCTACAACTGAAGCAGAGTACATGACAACAACTGAGGTAGTCAAGGAATCATTGTGGCTGTGAGGGTTTTGTCAAGGAGTTTGAGATCAAGTAAGATGGAATAAAGTTGGATTGTGATAGTCAGAGCCCCATCTTCTTAGTAAAGAATCAGATTTATCATGCAAGAACCAAGTACGTTGATATGAGATTTCACAAGATAAGAGAGTTGGTTATTTCAGGAGAATTGTTGCTAGAGAAGGTGTATACCTCAGAGAATGCAGTAGACACGTTGACAAAGCTAATCACAATAGATAAGTTCAAGCATTACTTGAACTTGATTAACATCTCTAGGTGTTAGAGATGATGCGTCCCAACGTATTAGTCCTAGATGATGTGTTTTTTCCAGGTTATGTTTGCTTCAGTATTTTCTTCTAAGGGGGTGAATATTCGCCAAAGTGGAGATTGTTGTATATGTGGCTCATATAGAGTGGAACACAAGTTTACTGGATCAAAACTGTTTGTTTGCTAATAACGTGTATTTTTTGTTGTACAAGTCCTAAAGTTCTGTATGGGCTTGGGGAGTTAAATACCCTAAATAGTCACCGAACTTTGCCAAAAGTTCCCAGGAGGTCACTGAACTTTGCAAAAAGTTCCTAGGAGATCACTGAACTTCAAAACTACCCTAAACAATCCCTGAACTTTGCTAGAACTTCCTAGGAAGTCACCGAACTGTGCAAATTGTGACCCAATACATCAATGATTTAGTGACCCCCTAGGAATTTTTTGCAAAGTTGAGTGACTAATTAGGGTAGTTTTGGAAAAGTTCAGTGACTATTTAGGGTAGTTTCGAAATTCAGTAACCTCCTAGGATCTTTTTACGAAGTTCAGTGACTAATTAGGAAAGTTTTGAAATTCAGTGACCTCT